GCTTTGAACTCCAACATGCGCTTGAAGAAAAGCTTGAAAACCATGTACAGCTGAGGAAATGTATACTGAGATTTCAGCAATGATCGAAACGCGGAAAAAGCAATTGCCGTGCAGATTCAATGAATAATTGTGATTAAGAATGAAATAGTGTCATCTCAGCAACTGGGCAAACGCTTTTTGACTAGTGAAGGGATGATTGGATAACTGTTTTGATTTAAAAAAATCTGATACGTTTTGGGCTGCCTAGCCAAAGACTCCAAGGTCGAACATGTTTGCCGCCTTTGACCCATCTGAGGCCAGCGCTATCTGCCCAAGAAGCGTGCCAACCTCAGCTCCAAGGGCGGTTTCTCTGCAACAAGTGACAGCAATCAATGTAGATACTTCGCCATCACGGCGACATAGCGGACATATGCGGACATGTTTTTTTGGCTCACGTGGCCTGGTCTGGTTGGCACACGGAGGATTGCAGGCTTAAATTTGGTTGGGATTGATGCGGTATATTATGATTTGAACTTTAATATTCCATATTCATAGATGATTCAGCTCGCGAAACTCAGTTACAGAAAGTCAATATAAGAACCAAATTTAAGCCATCTGTACAAAATGGGATTAGCACAGCACGCTACAGCCAGCCATGTACGCTTGAGCTCTCTCAGCCCGCCATGTACACTTGGCACATGAGGATGTCAGATTGACATGCCTGATTCTGAAATTTGGTTGGGCTGAAAGTTTAGAGATGATTACTCACCTGGAAGGATTCTGGTTTGTCCTGGAATTTTGCCGCAACCAAAGTTCAAATTAGGCTAACTGCACGGGTCGCTCAGCCAGCCATCATCAATCTTCTCTCCTGCTGCTCTTCTCCTTGGCGTCCTTCTGGTCATCGTCTTTCTTTCTCTTCTTGCTCTGCTCTTTGTCCTTCTCATCCTTCGGATCCCTTTCTTCCTGGGGCCCCTTGTCCTTCTTGGCCAGCTTCTCTTTTACTCGCTGGAGTTTCCTTTCGAGCTTCTCCTCCCGCTCTGTCGCGTCCTTTGCCTTTTCCTTTGCCCGCTGCAGCTTGTCCTCAAGTTGCTTCTCTCTGCATGCGGCCTCCCTTTTCACGTCCTCCAGCTGCCCCTCAAGCTCCTTCGCAACTTCCTCGGCTTCTTTCTTGGCCAGGGTCCTCACCCGCACCACCTCCAGGTCGGCTTCCTTCACTTTTTCCTGAGCCGCCCTTCTGACCTGCTCCATTTCCTCCTCCAGCAACTTCTGCCGCTTGGCCCCTTCCTTGATGGCCTCATCCAGCGCCTGCCCGACCTGCTTCTGGCCCAGCATCGCTTCATTCAGCCTGTCCTGGAGCTCTAGAGTTTTCACCCTTGCTTCCTTGGCTTTTTCTTCCATAAAAAGCTTCTCCTCCTGCACCTCCTGCAGCTGCGCCTTCAATTTCCTCTTCTCCTGGCAAAAGCAAGATGGTCAAAATGTGTGCATGTTTCTTGACTTACAATCACCATCACGGTGACAGTAAAGCGCCATCACGGCGACAATAAAGCGCCATCACGGCGACAACAAAGCCCCTTCGACACGACACAATCGCCATGGCGCCAACCCCAACCCTTCCGCGCCTCTTTGAGTTCCTGGCATTGCTGTCTGACGTCAGCCCACCGCCCGGCCTCCCGTTCCGCTTTGTGCTTCCACTGGTTCCAAGTTCGGTTGCCGCTGGGTCTGCTGCTGCTTTCTGGCTCTGCCGCTGGGTGTGCCGCTGCATGTGGCTGCTCCTTCTGCTGCAGCTGCTGCTCCTGCTGCTGCTTCTGGTGCTGGAGCAGCTGTTGGTGCTGCTGCTGCTGCAGCTGTTGCTGCACATGCCACAAGGCTACTTGTGACTGCCAAGCCGCTTGCTGGGACGCTTGCTGGGCCGCCTGCTGCATCTGCTTCTGCTGGTGCGCGGCTTGCTGCGCGGCTTGCTCCGCCTCTTGCTGCAGCCTGCTGCTGCTGCGCCGCTTGCTGCGCCGCTTGCTGCGCCGCTTGCTGCGCAGCGCCTGCTGCTGCTGCTGCTGTGCGGCTTGCTGCGCAGCTTGCTGCGCGGCTTGCTGCTGCTGCTGCTGCTGCTGCTGCTGCGCGGCTTGCTGCGCGGCTTGCTGCGCAGCTCTTCTTTCTTGCTGCAGCAGCTGCTGCTTCCTCTCTGCAGCAGCTGCTGCTTCCTTCTTCTTCTTTTCTTCCCAATCTTCCCATTTCTTTCTTTCTTCCCTTTTCCTCTCTTCTTCTTCTTCCCATTTCCAATCTTTCCACGACTTCCATTCTTTCCAGTCTTGCCGCCCCCATGACGACCACTGCTGCTTGGGCGGCGTGACCGGGGATGCCTGGCTTGGCGGTGGTGGGGCAGATGGCGCTGCCAGTGGCGGTGGGGCAGATGCCGGTGGCGGCGTCTTTGCCGCAGTCTTGGGTGGCGGCGTTTTGGGTGGCGGTGGGGCCTGCTGCTGCTGCTGTGGCATCTGCTTCGGCTGCTGTGGCATCTGCTTCGGCTGCGGATGCTTCGGCTGCAGCTGCAGATTCAGATGCCTCGGCTGCGGCAGATGGGCTTTTTTCTTCGGCTCATGTTTCTCTGCTTTCGCTTTTTCATTCTGTGGCTTCTGGTCCTTCTTTGGCTTTTGCTTCTCTGCTTTGTCATTCCTTGGCTCCTGCTCCTTCTTCGCATCTTCTTTCTTTGCCTTCTCATTCTTTGGCTCGCGCCCCTTCTTCGCATCTTCTTTCTTTGGCTCCTCATTCTTTGGCTCGTGCCCCTTCTTCAGATCTTTCTTTGGCTCCTCATTCTTTGGCTCGTGCCCCTCTTCTTTTGGCTTCTCATCCTTTGGCGCCTCTACCCGCGGCATGGCTGGCTGCGCGGCTGCATGTGCGGTGAAACGAGTGAAACGAGGAATCTGTTTTAGTGGTGAGTGATGACACCTGCGCAATGACGTTTTGATAGTAAGTAATGGCAATTGAGTCTAATGGATAGAACGACGCTGCTGATGGTGATGATGGTGATGGTGATGATGATGATGATGAGGATGATGGTGATGATGGTGATGATGGTCATGGCGACGATGGTGATGATGGTGATGATGATGGTGATGGTCATGGTCATGAGTGATCGAAGTGAGTCTAATGGGTGGGAGTCTGAAAGTGGATGGCTTTCAGGTGTTCAGAAAATTTATGTGTTTCCCACGCGCGTACATCGAAGTTCAGAGTGCTGAACAAAATCTTGGGCCATCATGCCCTCCACACAACATGCTGTGTTTTTAGCGCCATCACAGCGCAAAAAAGGCAAGTGACATGTTCATCAGCGCCATCACAGCGCAAAAAAAACCAAGCGACAAGCAAAAAAAACACGATTGGCGATGGTTCTAGTGATGATCACTGCTGAGTCCCTATATTATCATTGATCAATTGGAGCAATGATTTTGAAACACTTTTGCACACAGCGGCAGATGCTAAGGCGCAAGCATCGAAGGCATCCCAAGTGCTGGATGTACCAACCTTAAAGCTGTCAGCGCATGGCAACCCCTCAGGTTTAGCTCTACTTTCAAACTGGCTTACTGTAGTGATGCAAGTATCTTGATATTCACATGAATCTGAAGTTGTTATATATCTGCTATTTTCTGAGATAAAACCCATTGTTCAACTACAATAGTATGTTAATCACTTGACAATGCTTGATAGTTAAAAGTTATGATCGGAATATCATTACGCAACCCCATCACAGCGTCACGCCATCACGGCGTCCAGAGAGCAATCTTTTTGGATCAATCTCAAAAATTCAGTCCCCTTAGGCCCTTGAACTGCCCGTGGCAGCCTTAGCGCGCTTCTTCAGATTCACCCAGACCACGGCACCGCGGGGCATCTCAAAATCCTTTGGCTCGGAATAGCGTTCCTTGTTGTCCATGACCCACGCATAAAGCTTTGGATATGGAATGGTTGCCAGGTCGGCGATGCAATGCTTGTGCAAATTTTCTGGGGAGCCAATGAAATTGCGAAGGTCATCTGGACTGTCTGTCCACGGGATGAATTGTCCAGTTTCACTTCTGCGCCCGACCCTGATGCAGTCAACGATGTCAACCTCCCCCACAAGCTGCTTGGCCTTGGACTGGGCGATGCAAATCCTTCCCCACAGACTGCGGCTGATGGGCTTCGATCTGATTTCCCAAACCTTGGTGTTGTGGAAGATCTGTTCACACCAATGCTTCTTCACAATCAAAGCTCGATCAGGCCCCTCCTCTCCCTCTGGAGCCTTTCGTTTCTGACCGGTCGCCATAGCTTCAAAAATATCAGATTCGGCCCGGCCGGTCGTAATTTGGGCCGACAAAGCTTCCATGGAAAAAACTGTTTACTTGTAGTTCTGAATGTGCCAGGGGCACCCTTGACAAAACTTTATAATGGCACTTGGATTCATCATGATTCGTCTGAGCACCCCGGACACCTGCATGGCAGCCCGTCTCAACCTGGCACCGCATTGCAAATGCACACACCATCACTCTGCCATTGGAGCGCCATCACGGCGCTGACGTTGTAAAACACAGAAAACGCACAAAGAATTGCGACATTTTGCTGGCCCTGCCATCGCATTGATCACAGTAATCGAGCCAGCCGTAATTACACTTCAGCACACGGCTGGCTCTGCTGGGCCCTTGCTCTCAGTAACGGGCTGTCACTGATTGCAAACAACAGTTGTACCGAAATATTTCAAGGTATGATTCTTTATCACTCTTTCTGAATGATTCAACAAACCATCGGTGACAGCACTCGTAAGGCCACTACTCAGCACAATTCGATCCGGTGAGGGCTTGCGTGCTTTTCATGGGATTAAGGATTGACTGCGAGACATGCTCCCTGCTGTCCGCAGAATTTTGGCAGAAAATGCTCCCATACAATGGCAACCAAAGAAGTTGGAAATTGCCTGACCGTTCTTATCTAGTTGCATCGAAACAACATTGAAATCATGGGGGGCGCTGCCGGGTCACAAAATGTGACTGGGGTTACACTTCAATGCTTCACTCGTCCTCACCGTCGTCATCATCATCCACCAAGCTCATGCCTCCTTGAAGACCTTTCAGCTTCGCCAAAATCTCCTCGCGCTTCTTCGCGGCTTCATCATCGGCCTTGGCCTTCTTGGCAGGGGGCTCAGACCCTTCAGCCTGAGCAGGGGGATCGCGCTTTTCGGGTGCGGGCTTGCCACCCTTGCCACCCTTCCCACCTTTGCCTTTGCCACCCTTGCCACCCTTGCCACCCTTGCCACCCTTGCCACCCTTGCCACCCTTGCCACCCTTGCTGGTGTTGGCCGGCGTGCTAGTCGATCCACCAGTAGCATTAGACTCATCGGAGTTGGCGGCCTTCTGCTTCTTGATCAAGAGCTGCGCGTTCACATTGTACAATGAGGAACTCTGATCCTGAAACTGCGCCCACACCCACCGAATCAAGCGTTTGCGAAGTTCACTGGCATGGAAGTCCGTGAAGCATATGGAGATACACGGCCGCTTGGCCAAGATGCATGCCTCCGCTACCTTCCCCTCCACATCTGTGGCAGCAACCATCAAATTTGCATCAAAGGAGTGAATCAGCTCACTGTAAAGGGCGCGGGGCATCCCATGGTAGCTGACCATCTGCCGGTCATCTTTGAAAGAAGGGCGCTCTGGGCATTCCCCCTCAAGGGCACCTCCAGACAGCACCTTCCCTGAGGGACCATAGATTTGATCTTTTTCCTCCTTTGGCAGGAGCCACACTTCCTCATTGTCACCTTCAACGGCATCCACTTTCACTGGGCCGATGGAACTTGCAAGACTGCTGCCACTGTAGATCAGCCGGGGCTTGTCCTGCACGGAGGCAACACCATTGCTCACCAAATGCAAGGATTCATGCGTTTGAAGCATTCCTCTTTGAAGAGTCTTCCTGCTTCGCAGACTCACCTCATCGTAGTGCACCACGAGCTCTAGGCGGGTTTTGTTGTCAAAGTGGCGTCCGTGGTTGTCATCACCACCCTGACGGACGCAGCATGACATCATCATGGGCGCCAGCTGCCTGCCGCCGTCAAAGAAGAGGATAATGTCATCTCGCTCCAACTGATCTCCTCCACGGGACTTGACAAAGGCACTGAGGACCTTTGTAAAATGCTCCCGACGGAACTGCGGCCGTCTGACATGCGGTTGGGCAGTGGCTTCACCTGCTGTCTTGGTGTCATAAATCAGAACAGCCCGCCTTCCAGTCGTGCTGGTTGCGCAAGCCTCCAGCACACGGGCCATGCCTGAGTTCGAATCCTGCTCAACGATGATCTTGGCAAATTGGTCGACAATCTCCTCTGCTTGTTTGGCATAACGAAGCAGATCAGCGGCTGACTCGTCAGACTCATCAATCATCTCACCCAGAATGTCATGGAGCAAGGGTTCATTCTCTTCCTCACTCGCTTCCTCTGCATCTTCAGCCTTGACCAGTTTGGTGATCTCAGTGTGGATCTGGTCAAGCAAGGGCTTGAAAGGCTCGTTGGCAAGCAAGTCTTCTGGCTTGGTGGCCCCCTTCAAAGCATTTCGAAGATGAGAGTCGTGCTGGGATCCAAACACCACATTCTTCACAAAGTCGATTGCCAGGCGCTCCACTTCTGTGAGCTGACCCAGCCATGACAAGTCGGCACCCGTGCTGAACCTTGGAACACGCATGGCACCCACAAGGTAAATTTAGACATCTATCAGTTATGATGGCGGTACGTTGTTCGTTTCGAAAATGGAACATGCATGCATGAACACGCCAGCCAACCCTATCATACCAACGAGGAGCTTTTCTCGAACATTGGTGTGGGTTTCGAAGATCTTACTCAAGGACATACACATCTCAGACGGCAATCCATGGGTGCCAAAATCAGCGAAGAGCCACAGAAGGATGTTGCGCTTAGCAAGCCATTCATCCATCAGTCCTCGGGACCCGCCACCAGTTTTCCCTCCTTTGAGGCTTCGGCTGGAAAACTGTGAGTTGGATGCCTCACCACGGAGCAACAGATCTTCGATAGTTGCCAGGATCCACATCATTTCTTCTTTCTTTTTGCACTTCATGACCACGGCCTCCAAGGTGCTCATGTGTCTCCAGCAACTTTTCTTCCCGAATTTCAACTCTAGAGAGTGCACCTTCAAGAAGAGGTCATTGTCACTCAGCATCCTGTCGTAAATTTTCATGGCCGAGTCGACCAGTTCAAACGCTGTCTTTGGCGCCTCGTCTGAATCTGAAAGGTCGTAGGTTTTCCTGACCCAAAGGTCTGCGAGCTCCGCCCTTGACAAGTGCGCCGTATGTGTTGCCTCGTATGCTGCTTTGAGGGCTGCGATTTCAAAGATCGTCTGAACAGTACTGCGACTGCATGCTTCGTACGTCGCGATATATCGCTGACGCAAGGTCATCTGCCTGAAGAAGGCGTCCTCCTTCGTCTCGATGATCTCACACCGCAATGAGATGGAGACTGAGAGGAACACGGTGCGCCATCCCCTGGGTTCAAGTTGGATATATCATCAGAAATCCCAACATACAAGTTCCCTGAGATTGGGCAAGAAAAAAATGTGGGTGGATTGGTAATGCAAATCAAGCTACAGCAACTCTTCTTCGCTAGCACCACTGCTGATTCTGTGGGCCACATGTAGAATCAGGGAGTGATCCACCTCCTCGGGAGAGATGCGCATCAAGTTGCCCTGAAGCTGCATGAACTTGTCTTTGTCGCAGTTGCGAGGCACCCCCACCACAATCTCGACGCCCAACTTTTCAACCCCCTTCTGAAAGAAGGTCTTCTGGATTTTCTCCAAGCTGGCTGAGTTGATTGGAACTTTTGGAGATGTCATGCCCCTGACATTCAGCCAGAATAAGTTTCCACAGGATACGTACACCCCAGCTGTCTTCATAGCGTCCTCGAAGTCGGGCCCGCACCATGCAGCCTCAGCATTGACAGAAGATCTCGGGCACAAGCACATTAAAAAATCGTGCGCGCCCAACCCTGTTGAGAGCAGTCAGACTTGAAGATCGTGCGCGTCCAACCCTGCTGAGAGACAGGCATAATTGAAGATCGTGCGCGTCCAACCCTGTTGAGAGACACTCAGACATACGCATCCAGCTGTGTTGAAAGATGCCCCAAGCACAAAAAAAAACCCAACTCAAATCGACAAGGGCTGCCGAGAGGGTCGGGTAAGTTTACCCAGTTCCCTGTTCACAGGGGGGCGTACGGGGCTGTTGAGGGCATAGGGTAGCATATGATTGAGCACTGACCAGGGATTAGGGTAAAATTACCCTAATCCCTGGTCAGTGCTCAATCATATGCTACCCTATGCCCTCAACAGCCCCGTACGCCCCCCTGTGAACAGGGAACTGGGTAAACTTACCCGACCCTCTCGGCAACCCCCCACGGAAAAACAGCAAATCAAAGTTGGAGACTCAAACTTCTGCGGTCTCTCAACACGGCTGGGCGCGCACGATCGTCCAACTCTCTGAACAGGGTTGGACGCGCACGATCTTCAATTCTGACCGTCTCTCAACAGGGTTGGGCGCGCACGAACTTTAATTTTGGCTGCTTCTCAACAGGGTTTGGCGCGCACGATCTTCAGTCATGACCTGTCATGTCTTTTCACCTTAAAATCACATGGCGCTATCACCATCACCAGAAAATCGATCATCGTCTCACGTCTTCATAAAGCAAACCTCACTGAACACATCGTCTTTAAAAAATGAAACAAGACAGCCCTACGGGACAGAAACCACATCAACTATTTTTCAAAAGTACTGCAAATTATTCAATCTCTGGTACTTATGAATGGATCCAGAAATTGCAATGCTCAAATTGAAGCTGAATTGAAAACGAGTCCAAATGAACTTTAGCCAACAGTGTGCCATAGTAGAAAAAGGTGCATCTCCACCTGTTGAAGTTCAAGCAGCGCCTTTACGCAGTGGTGACCATCCCCCCCCCGTTGTGTCACCCCGTTGTTTTCGGCGTGTTTCCCCCACAGGTCCCAGGTCACAGCCGTCGCGCAATTAGGTGAGAAAAACGGGCATCAAAAGATTTCAAATCCAAGGTGAAAAATCAGAAGTTGGAAAAAATGACAAGACATCCAAGGTGAAATTAATTAACGCCAAAGTGAAAATGATTTTTGCAAGGCGGTAGTGATATTTTTTCCTGTCATGGAAAACCAGTCATGGACATGCACATGTACCCAATATGCCAAAGTGTTGTGTCTCCCCCGTTGTAACACCCCGTTGTGTGGAAATAGCGTGCTTATGCGCATATTGTGCATTATGATTATTAACGGATGTAGGGTTTAAGGTTAGACACGACATATTTTTGATAGAAATGTCATTTTTGAACCAAATTTCGACCAAAAAAAATCGAAAAACAAAATATTTAAAATTTCATTCCAATACCTTGAGCATGATCCACTGAATGTTTTAAACCTGATTTTGGACATAATTTAAGGATAGAAATTAGTTTTTTGAACATATTTTGACAAAACATATTTTGGAAAAAAACTTTTCAATTTCATTCCAATACCTTGAAAATGAACCAGTGAATGTTTTAAGATTGGTTGTGGACAAAAAATATGGATAGAAATTACTTTTCAAAAAATATTTTTCTTGCATATTTGCTGAATACCTTGATATTTTTTGAAAAGTAATTTCTATCCATATTTTTTGTCCACAACCAATCTTAAAACATTCACTGGTTCATTTTCAAGGTATTGGAATGAAATTTAAAAGTTTTTTTTTCAAAATATTTTTTGTCAAAATATGTTCAAAAAACTAATTTCTATCCTTAAATTATGTCCAAAATCAGGTTTAAAACATTCAGTGGATCATGCTCAAGGTATTGGAATGAAATTTAAAATATTTTTTTTCGATTTTTTTTGGTCGAAATTTGGTTCAAAAATGACATTTCTATCAAAAATATGTCGTGTCTAACCTTAAACCCTACATCCGTTAATAATCATAATGCACAATATGCACATAAGCACGCTATTTCCACACAACGGGGTGTTACAACGGGGGAGACACAACACTTTGGCATATTGGGTACATGTGCATGTCCATGACTGGTTTTCCATGACAGGAAAAAATATCACTACCGCCTTGCAAAAATCATTTTCACTTTGGCGTTAATTAATTTCACCTTGGATGTCTTGTCATTTTTTCCAACTTCTGATTTTTCACCTTGGATTTGAAATCTTTTGATGCCCGTTTTTCTCACCTAATTGCGCGACGGCTGTGACCTGGGACCTGTGGGGGAAACACGCCGAAAACAACGGGGTGACACAACGGGGGGGGGATGGTCACCACTGCGTAAAGGCGCTGCTTGAACTTCAACAGGTGGAGATGCACCTTTTTCTACTATGGCACACTGTTGGCTAAAGTTCATTTGGACTCGTTTTCAATTCAGCTTCAATTTGAGCATTGCAATTTCTGGATCCATTCACCATAGGAAATACAGAACTCGTTGCCGTTTTGTGTGCCATGCAGCGAGTCAGAAACTGCAAGCGCCATCACAGCGTATCACTGCAAGCGCCATCACAGCGCACCCAACCGGCCGCAGTTTTCGACACCATCACGGCGTGAAACCACAGTAGGCACCATCACGGTGCTGCGGACACATTAAGCGCCATCACGGCGCAGCAGCAGACTTCATTAGCCGAAGTAACGCTCTTTAATTTAATGGAATCCACGCTCTTTGATTTAAAAACCAAGCCCTGAGTAACCGATGAATTTATATATCCAAGAAACTTGAGATCCAGCTTCACAGGCCTCCGCATTGCGATCGATGGGCGCGGGCTGCATGGACTGGATGGTCTCGAAGATTGGATGGGCCAACACCACGTTCAGCGCATCCTCCAAAGTCTTCAGGTGGGTGGCATTGATGTCGCTCACCGCATCCGCCATCACGCTGTAATTGCCAATGAAGTCAAATCAGGTGATCACTTGTGAACATCAAAGAGCGCTGCAGCATATTGACACGCAATCTGAAGTAGCAGCACAAATCATGAACATGGCAGACAGACATGACTTGTCAGGAACAAGAATTTTCCGATCAATCAGAGACTCTCAAAAAAAAGTACGACTTTGAGCGCATGAACTGCGTTTCCAAAAATGAGCAACAAGTTGCATAATATTCATCAATTCATCACCCTCAAATCTATTTTTAATATATTCATTAGAATTTATAGTCCAGCTCGTCACTGGTCGCCCGGGGTTTCCGACCGCCCAAGGGCCTCTGCCTGTGAGTTCCACAGTGTGGGATACCGGGGCCGGGAGCTTCAGCAAAAAGGTTCCTACCTGGGTTGTTGACAGCAGTGACAACTCTATAGGAGCCATCACTACGCTTTCACACCCACTCACATGAAATCAAATGTCATCACATGCAACCAATGGTTGCTGAATCTGAAGGCTTTACCATTGGTTGCTGAATCTGTTTTTTTTTGCGAGAACGGGGACATGGTGACATCTCAAAGCGGCATGAGTGCATACTAAGCGCCATCACAGCGCATCAAAAGTTCAATGAAGTGACTGGGCTCCCATGCGCCGCGTCAACCATAGTTGTCCATGACCTGAGCAGAAGGATGGTCTACAGCATGTTTCAACTTTGTTTGTTTGAGAAACGCCATCAAGGCCTATGAAGAAACGCCATCACTGCCTATGAAGAAACGCCATCCCGGCGTGGAGTTAAAATCATAAAATCTATTTTTCTATCAGCCCTTCAGCTCCAATACCCCGGCCACAAAGACTTTACTGTACAAATTAGGCTGACTACAGCCCGCAAGCATTTCGGCTGCAACAGTGGACCTTCCTCACAAAGTTGATGAAATCTTTGCTGGACATTGCGTTGTCCAGGCCCAGCGCAGCAACCACCGGTGGAACAGTCAGTGCCAGTACTTGCCACTTGCTTTTTGTTCTAGCTGTTTTCTCAGCAAAGTCTTCCCAAGACTCAATGCTTTTCCACTTTGAGCTGGCCTGTTGCCTGTGCAATCAAAAAACGGGAAGGAAGCTTTCATGTGGGACAATCTATCGAAACTAACTCCCGCACTATGAAAAGAACAACTTTTGAAAAACCAAGTCACATACACAGGCTCAGGATCTGACTCACTTCCGGCTTTGACGTTGCAAATCTGGGGCAAACAAAGATCTGTCGCTTGATAGAGTAGGCAGCATCATACAAATAGGCAGTGCCTTTGTTGCGATTGTAAGGGCGATCTGCAATGATGTTGAGCATGCATTCCAGATCTAGCACGCATCCTCCTCGTACCGTCGCTGCCCAAAGCACTGACTGCGGTGGCTTGCTTGGGTCAGACACCACATAAAACAAAGGGAGTAAAAGATCATCAGTCAATTTGCATCCTTGAAACTCACGTTTTTGGCTCCATTCTGCGTCTTCGAGAAAGATCCACTGATTGGCGCGGTGAAAACGCGGTGGCACTGGAGCCATCAGGGCCTGCTTCTTGGACGCATCTTTGACTCTGTCTATGTGCTGTTTGTCCTGAGCCGCTGAAAATTGTTCAGCAACATCAACAAGACCTTCTGGAACTTCCGCCGCTGTGAGGTGTCCCCAAAGATAACTCTGGATTTGATTCTTGTACTGCTTGTTCGACTGAAAATGCAACTCTTTGTTGACCTTCTCGCAGTCATCTGGAACATGGACAGAGGCCGCAGTACGCACTTGCTCACAAGTCAAATACTGCACAGTCTCATCTGCACAACGACGTCTTTTTGCAATGAACAAATTCTCTGACCCTTCCTTCATAACCCGTTTCTTGCCAGTGTCAAGTCTGATGGTCTGACTGAAGTCTCTGGGCGCACCATACCATTCCAACCAAACCTTTTGGGCCAGCGCGATGCATTCACTGCGCGACCGGTTGCCAAAATCAAACATGAACTTCAGCTCCAAGTTCCTCAAGGAAGGCATGAGCGACTTACAGAATTACATAAAACTTGTAATCTGAAGCGTTTGCATGAGAAACATGAACATGGGAGAAACATTAAAAAAACAACGTCTCACAAGTTAAGGCTCTGATTCTCCTCAGACAG